CACTACCTTCACCTATCATTACCACCATGCCACCATCACCACCACCCAAGGAAGCACGAACACTTGTAAAAACAGGGAGAGTCGTGTCCGACACGGCGACACGCTCCGACACGGTGTCAGACACGTGGTCAACTTTTTCTGACACGCGAATTTGACCGTGTCCAACACGGTCAAATGACATTTTCGTAAATTTTTTTAATTTCTTTTTTAATTTTTTAAAAAAAAAATTTTTTTTTAAAAAATTAAAATATATTAATAAAGCTTCCACCTGATCATATCAATTTTATTTTTTTGTCTTTTTTTTCCTTAAGTAGATAAGAGATCATCTCAGCATCATTGTTGTCAATTCCTATTACGCTCATACTGTATCTTCTTGTCTCTGATCTCTCTCTCTAATATGATTTGATCTCTCTATCTGATATTATATCTCTCTCATCCCAGTTCTTATTTTTTTATTAAAGCTTCCATCTTTATAACGTGTTGATGAGTATTATTAATTTATTTTTATTTTTTTGTTAAATTATTAAATATTAAATGAAATATACACTATATAAATTACAAATATTATTTAATATTAAAACGTGTCCCAACGTGTCGAAATCCATAATTTTTTAGGATTGACGTATCGAAGTGTCGTGTCACGTGTCGCGTGTCGTATCGGTGCTACATAGCCACCACCACTACTATCACCACCACCATCACCACTACCGCCATCAACCACCACCACCACCATCGCCACCACTACCACCACCACAACGCCGCCGCTACCATCACCACCACTATCATTGCTGCAGCCATCACCGACACCGCCACCAACCACCACCACCATCGTTACAGCCACTATCGTCACCACCACCACCATCGTCACAGTCACTACCGTCACCACCACCACCTCCGCCACCATTACACCACCACAACCACTATCACCTACCACCACTGTCACCGCCGCAGCCACTGCCACTGCCACCACCATCTCCATGTTGTCATCACAACCACCACCACCACCACCACTACCATGCCATCGCTACCATTATCGCTGCCACCAATGCCACCAACCTCATATGCCACCAACCACCATCCTCACTACCATTGTCGCAGCCATTGCCGTCACCTCCACCACTATCACCGTCACTGCCACCATTACCACCGTCATCGCCATAGCCACTGCCGTCACAACCACCACCACGTCACCACCGCCGTACCGCCGCCACCACCACCATGTCACCCGCCGCCGCCGCCACCATCACAACCACACCATATGGAAAGGAAAGTGATGATCCGAATTTTTTTTACATTTAATAAGAATTATTTTTTATTATATTATTTGTTACGTTATCAAATGCAATTCTCATTCTCGGAATAAAAATAGAACATGTTATCAAACACATTTTTTTCCTCATAAATTATTCCAAGGAACAGAAATAGAAAAGAATTATTTATTTTCAAAAACAGTGCTAGAGAATAGAATGGTTGTCATGCACACCCTTAATATACCTAAGAATCTCTTTCATAATGTAATGCGAAAAGTCAAAGTGGTTTCGAGTTTGCAAGTGGCTAATGATAATGCCAATTCAAGTTTCATGTGGCTAATAATGGTGCCAATAAGACAAATGTCCACAGTAGCTAACTTATAAAAAAATAAAGGATCCATTTGACGTATTATGATTTTTGTTTTGTTTTTAAAATTATTTTATAAAATAGTTATGAAAATAAATATTTTTTGTATTTTTTTGTTTTAAAAGTTAAAAGTCAAAAGACAAAACAAAAATGACTCAGACATTTCTCTAAATTTGATTCTAAAAATAAAAAATAGTTATAAATTTTAATTTTTTTTACAAAACAAAACTTATCAAACGATTTTTATTTTATTTTTTTATTTTGAAAAAAAAAATATTTTTAAAAATAGTATTCAAACAGGGTCAAAAACCCCCAACTGGTTCGAGATTTTTTTTCTCTTCTTATTATTATTATATGTGTTAGGGCCAAGTCATGCTAGATAAAAAAGAAGAAGATAACATTGGTGTTTATGGATTCAAATATTTTGTCTTGTCATTTTTCTCTCTTCAATAATGACAAAAAAATAAACAGAAAAAAATTGATTCCCCTGTGTGTCACGAATGTCCCCGTGACTGAGAAATTTTAGTCACTCTGGCTGTAGATGACTCACATTCAATTTAGAACCTTTGTATAAATTAGTTTTGACGTGACAAATTAAAAAAATAACGGCATGTAAAAAATATTTAAATTTCTGTAATAATAAATTAGTGTATATATTTACCGGAAAAAAAATTAGTGTATATAGATAAAAATAAGACTCTAGATAAATTGCTTAGAAAAACGCACTATGAATTATCCTTTTTGACTAATTTACCTATTATCTAGCTCTTGATAACAGGACCGTGCTAATTTAGCTTACTAGCCAAGTTAGGTAATGTAGCCCAAATAAGCTTCTGGCCTCTGGGCTCTTGTCATTGTTATGACCTTCTCACGTTGGTGACAACGGTCCACGTTAGTTATCTCACTTTGAATTTGGAGTTCCATGAATAAGAAGAAAAATGATGACTTTTGAGTGGTGAAGACTTTTTTTCTTTTTATAAATCATGGGTATCCTTGAGACGAGCCAATCATGTTTGAGTCGGGAACATCCAAATAATAGTAGATTAGCTCTCTCAAAGAAAATTTATTACATTTACAAAGACTTTAACTCAAGACATTTTTCTTAATTGGAATGAAACATGTACCACTTAAATCAATTCAAATTTGAAAAAGAATAAAATAAAACAGTGATTAAATTAAACTTAATAGTCATGTCAGTGGTGGTGACTGGTGACTGATAAGGGTCACTTATTTGCGATAAACGATAGCTGAAAGATTGATTCAAATCACATTTTGCATTTGGCTATAGTGACGTATCCTGAACATAGACATCCTTTGAAGTTTGAAGCAGTGGAGTGGATCTTTTTAAGTGGTTTACAATGTTGAAAACCATAATATGTGTTATCGTGCCTCTTTCAAAGTTCAAAAGCCATTATATATGTGTTCCCATTTTAAGTCGTTGGTGGCGCATAATGCTAGCTTACCAAATCTCCAAAAACACGAATTCTTGGTGGGCTGGACCTTATAAGTGGGGAACGTGGCCAATTATTGTAAACATTCCTAATAATCCACCACTATCTAGAAAAGAAGAAAAAATATGTAAAATCATTTGATTATGCGAAACTAACATCATCCACTATAAAATCATTAACTAAAATCCCTGATCATCCATGTCCTTTCCCTCACTGCTCGAGAACTGAAAGCATGGTTTTATTTAAGCAAGCTTCAGTTTCAACTTTTTCTACACTCCTTCTTTGTCTTCTCTTGGTAGATTGCCAGATCCTTGAAAGTCCATCACCATTAGTCCCTGACATTCTAAGCTTCATAGACAAGAGGCTCGCTCAGGTCTTCCCAATTATTCAAACCTTCAAGAAAACAATAACCTCAGACCCTTTTGGAATAACTGCAACTTGGGTTGGTCCAAATATATGCAACTACACAGGCTTCTACTGCGATCACCCACCGGACAACAGCACAGCCACCACAATCGCCTCCATAGATTTCAATGGCTTTCACCTCGCCGCCCCCACCCTGGACGGTTTCATCGATCAATTCCCTGACTTAGCTTTGTTCCATGCAAACACCAACAATTTCTCGGGCACCATTTCACCAAAAATAGCAAACCTCAAGTATCTATACGAACTTGATGTAAGTAACAATTTTCTCTCTGGGCTATTTCCCATCTCAATCCTAAACATTCCCACCTTGTCCTTTTTGGATATTAGGTACAACCTCTTCATTGGTACGGTGCCGCCACAAATATTCAAGCAATCCTTAGATGTACTTTTCCTCAACAACAACAATTTCATGCTTACACTACCCAAAAATTTAGGGGACACACCAGCACTTTATCTCACTTTAGCAAACAACAAATTCACTGGCCCCATTCCTCGTAGCATTAAAAGAGCCTCGTCCACGTTGATCGAAGTGTTATTCTTGAACAACTTCTTAACGGGTTGTCTTCCTTACGAAATAGGGTTTTTGGGAAATGCCACAGTGTTTGATGCCAGTAGCAACCTCTTGACTGGGCCGTTACCATGTTCGTTTGGATGCTTGAAGAAGGTGGAACAGCTTAACCTGGCTAGGAACTTGTTGTACGGACAAGTTCCAGAAGTGGTGTGTGCTTTGGGGAATTTGGTGAATCTATCGTTGTCCTATAATTACTTCACGCGAGTGGGGCCATTGTGTAAGAAGCTGATCAGAAGTGGTGTCGTTGATGTGAGGAAGAACTGTATTTTCGATCTTCCAGATCAGAGATCAGTGGGGGAGTGTATGGCGTTCTTCTTGATCCCCAGATCTTGTTTGCAACATGCGTCGTTTAATATTATACCATGTGAGATTCCTCCATGGACGAAACCTCGGGCGAGAACTAAGAGGCATTTGCTGTCATATTCTGCTCTTTCGAGAAACAGAGTAGTTTTGTAACTCAGAATTGTGTAGTCTGTATTAAGGTATAAATTTTTGGTAAAATATTATATTTATAAACTTTTTATTTACTAAACTATTATAAATTATATTTATATTATTTTTGTCAGGTAATATATTTTTAGTAGAGTATTACAGGTCAGATACAGTGTAATTTCTAAGTTTGTAAAAAAAAAAAATTGTAAACGGATCATTTCTCAAATTGTAATTGTTTAAAGCTAGAACGGGAGATGTGCAAAATAACCAAAAAAATTGAATCAGATCATGAACTGAACAACTTAAAATAATAAGTTTGTAAAATTAGTTCATGAACCAAATCAGTTTTTACATAACCAGTTCATGAACCGAAACAGTTTTTAAAACAAATTTAAGAACCGAACCGAATCATTTTCAAATCGAATCGAACCGTTTTCGAACTGAACTGCTTTTTATTATTTTATTTTATTTTATTTAATTTTTTTCGAGGGTCGACCCGAACCGTTTATAATCGAACCAAACTATTTCCGAACCAAATCAGTTTTAAACTAAATCGAAATATTTTCGAACCGAATCGTTTAAATTAATTCGGTTCGATTTTTCAAAAATTTATGTTCAATTCGACCCATACACACCCTGACTAGAATGTAATTGCTGAAGAATATTTATAGCCTTGGACGTGAGATAAAAGTAAAAGAGGAAAAAAGAGATGAAGATATGTGGTTGTGACACAATATAATGGATGTAAAGAACATAATTAATCTATTCAGATTCTACCAATAGGAGTGCGTTTCTCTTATTTAAGCGGGGCTTGATTTAGCTTAAACTGAAATTTATGCAGATTCAGTTTATATACATTGTTTAAAGTAAACTAATAAATGTTTTGTTATTATTTAATGTATAATGACGTTTCATTTAATAATTGATTTAGCCTAATTAATTAAAGTTTATTCATTAAATTTTTCACTTACACCAAATGTATCACGGTTGGCTGCGAAGATCTAAAGGTGCAGAGTGTGATGCGGTGTGCCTAACCAAAATCATGATCATCGCTCGATGTCAAGTAAAATTTAACACTGCTAATTAGGGTCTAAACAATAAAATTTGTAGTTGATAGCGGTTGAGAATATTAAAACATCCTCTCTGCTAGCTTTAAAATTGGAGCTCATATGTCACTCACATGTACTAATTTCAAGTCATGGCGCTGATTATATAACGATTGTTCTCAGTCTCTTTATTGCTTTGTGGTTATAAATTGAGAAGGCAGTTGGTGTTCTAATTATGCCGATCACATATCCAGCCAAAACATCCTCTCTGCTAGTGTTTTGCTCCAAAAAGCAAGGAAAAGAAAGCAATACACTTATTTATATAAATGAATATCGTTGATTAAATTAATAATAGGCACGTATGCTAATATGTCATCATGGAAGGAAATTAAAATTTGAAAAAAATGTTTTTTCATTTTAAAGAACACAACTATGTATCATTTTATATTAAACAACTTCGTTTTGGTTTCTCTCTCTTCTTAATTTTAGGGAAAAAAAGAGAATTTAAAACATTAAAACTAACTCGAAGTTGTCTTCTTTAAAATAAGAAATAATTAAAATTTGAAAACAAAATATGTTTTCATTTTAAATGACACAAATACATGTCATTTTAAATAAAACATCTTCGTTTTGGTTTCTCTCTCTTCTTAATTTTAGGAAAAAGATAGAATATAAAATATTAATAAATATATACCAAAACAACGTCGTTCTATCTAAACTAACTCGAAGTTTTCTCTTTTAAAATAACAAAATTTTTTCCTTAAAATTTACAATATTTGGATGGTAGTTGAGTACTTTAAGGGGTCGTTTGGTACGCGACATTTTGTAGGATTTTTGGAAAACTGAATTTTTCTAAATTTTAAATTTTCGGATATTATCGTAAATTGAATGTAAAAATTATATTTTTGAAATTCGAGATTCCTGGACAAATAAAAATTTATCCTGTACGAAACGCCCCCTAAAATTCATAATATTTGGGTGGTAGTTGAGTAGTTTAAAATCCATCATGTATACTTTCTTTGTTTAATTACGTACTTTCTTTCTCTCTTTTTTCTATAAAGGTTGATATTGTAACTAAACAAAAGGAATAAAACAAGTACTTGTTTAGTTACAAAACCAACCTTTTTATTTTAAACATTTCAGTCCCTTTTTTTATACTAATTATGAAAAAGAACAATAATAATAAATATCAGTAAAGATGTCATTTCTTCATCCATCTTCATGGGCTTCAAGAAGTATCATCGTGGCGCGAAAATATGGAAATTAAAGAGTTGAAGATGACAACAGTACTGGTGTTGGGAGGTTTATATGTTAGTAACAATGTCTCCACGCTAGGATACCAAAAAAAAAAAAATGTCTCCACGCTGGTAAGAAACTAGTTTAGCCACATATATAGATTCTGTATTTTAAGGTTTTAGATTATACAAACATTGTTCTAGTCTCTTATTGCTAGTTTTTACTTTAAAAAAACAATTAAGAATAAAGAAAGCAATGTGCTTATTAATTTACATAAAAGAATGTCGTTGATTAATTAATTAATCCTAGCAACATATACTTTATGTCACACGGAAGGAAATTAAAATTTAAAATGTTTATTTACCAAAAAAAAAAAAATTAAAATGTTTGGTTGTAGTGTTGAGTACTTTAAAATCCATTATACATATGTATACCTTTCTTTTGGAATCTTTCTTTCTAATTGCTTGTAGGCTCCACTCAAAGAAGAATAACAAATAAAAAGGAAGAAAAATTCAGGCAACAAAAATGCAAAAATGTAATGGACAAAAGCTAAAAACCCAGGGTCCAACTCTATGCACACCCCAAAAATAGAGACTCCTCATCTCGAATCCAAGAATTCAACCGAACCTTGTCAATTTATCCAAAGATCTCCAAACAAATTCCCTATTGTAATTAGTGTTCACCGATTATGTATGTGCAAACCACCAATGCTGAAGCTAGGTCTGTTATGCCATCTTTAGCCCATGGAGTTTGGATATGTGTTTGGGGGCCTTTTGAGTAGTGTGTAGTTGCGATGAAGAAATAGAGGATGTGGCTCAATATTTGTTGGTTAATGGGCTACGTGATGGAACACAACAAATGAGCTCCATGCCACGTCTCAATTTAAAATGTTAAGTTTATAGGATTACGAGTCTTTTGTACTTACAAGGTTTTTATTTGATTCACTTTTAATTAATGTGAAACTTTATCACGACTTACGGTTAAATATTTTCAACACCATCGACCCTTAGATAATCATGCAATGTTGGTCGAAATCCCTAATGACTAGAACCAACACATCACTTTTAAACATGTATTTCAATATTAGCTGAGGCTTTTGAATCTTGGATGTTGTCCCGTGAAAATTTTTTGGATTTTGTGTTTGGATGAATGTGTTCCTCCATTAATGTTTGGTAGCTAAGCATGTACCACATTTATCAGTGCATGTCATGCTACCAATCTCATGATTATAAAGAAGACTTTAGAAGGAGGTGAAGGGTTTACCTCTCCTATATAAAGAAATGTAAAGTCCTTTTGAATAGTTACCTAAGCTTAGAGACTTTGTAAAAATCCTCTTAAGAGAAATTTGAGTGAGACCTCTTTAGAGAATAACCTAATAATCACCATTTTAGGTGAAGTTTGAGTGTAAACTTTAAGGGTGACTTGGGAAGCTTGACTCTTGTAATCGTACTATTTCATAGTAGAAGATTTTCTTGACTTGGTCCCATGGTTTTTATTTATCTGCATTAGCGAATATTTTTCTAGTTAAAACTTATTGTATTTTTCTCTCCATCTCTCTATTTTTTGTATTTTTCTACTTTTTGCATATTGGCCAACCTGTTGTCCAATATGACAACCTCCAAGTGTCGAGCTAGTGCTTCACTAACCGACCAGTGAACCATTTTCGTGGTGATTGGGGGACCTCGTCCCATCATTTTGAACCTTACTCTTTGAACAAGCTTGGTATCATTTAAAAGCTGATGTTTGATTGTTTGAGTTGATGGCCTAATGGAGATTGCAATTTATATTACTTGATGTTTGATTGTTTGAGTTGATGGCCTAATAGAGATTGCAGTTTATATTACTTGAGATTTATAGTGTTTGGGAGTCTTATTACAAAGGACAATCATGAATTTGGAGGAAGATGATAATTTAAGGGATTGGGGTGACTATGGTTGAGTCCAAGGGCAAAGCTTCCATTTTAGGTAAGATACACAAAATAGCACATTAGCCTTTAAAAGTCATATTTAACGTGCAAGAATAGCATATTTGTTAAGTTTTTTAGCGGACCCTTAGTAGCGAGAGGGTAAAGTGCAACGAACACATTAAATTAAGGAACCGTAGGGGATGTAAGTGAGATTTCTTGCCTTTTTGACCATTGTGCCCCTGATTATATTAAAAATTACCATTATGCCCCCGTTTATAAACTATTTATAAAAATTTGACCTTTTTCCTAAATATAACACCATTTTGTCCCTGTTAGACCGTTGATTGGACCTCATACTCGAGTACATAACATCAATACTCGGGTAAATTTCACGGGATGAGGATGAAGGTATGTGTCATGTGTTTCTACTCAAGTATGTGACCAGGATACTCAAGTATGTCATAAGTTACTCGAGTACTAAGGTCTTGTACTCGAGTAACTCGCGACCATAAATCGTAATATGAGTGGGTTTCAACCTCATTTTCCATTTACCCGTTTTCTACCCAAAATCTCACTTGTTTTTCATCTCTATTCCAACCATCAAGATTGTATTCCATCTAAAATAGTGAGATATGGACTTTGGAATCCTAATCCTATTTTTCTGTTATTGAATACACACCACACTCCCTTTTGGCTTGCTGCCTCCTTCTGGTGCACCGTTATCTACCTCTATTGGCAGCTGCCTCTTCCACAGGCACAACTAAACCCCATATCTTATAATGACCTTTGATACTCCAGGACCAAACAAATATATGTTACAACTTCTTAATGTATCTTAACATATATGAGCTTCTCTAGAATAGTTTTTATCTTTCTGCAACTCTAATATCATTGACCACTAGTTTTGAACCTTTATTGTCGATTTTGTGAAGATGAAATGCAGCTTTTGGATGAATTCTCAAAGCCAATATTATGGGTATTTAAAGTTTTATTTTATCTTTTAAAATCCCAATATTAATAATAGGTTGTTTAAAATGAATTGCCGATGACACTTGTAGGAGAGAAAGAGAAATGTATCTAAAAGACTTCTTTATAGTAGTACTCCATTGTTAAGAAATTTATTTGCATTAAAATGTATTAAAAGTATAGCACATTTTCAATCTCAGAAGAGAAGAATGTAATTTTTATTTTTATTTTGTAAATAGAAGAATGTAATTTTAAAATAGAGTATAGGGCAATACAATTTAACTCATCATTTAATAAAGAGGAGTGTAATTTACTCTTTATATAACTATGCAGTTAATCGATCAAAATGAATGGTTTAACAAATTATAATGGTTGTTTGCAAATATGTCAAATATTTAGGGAGTCTGAAAACAATTTTGTCGAAAAAAAATGAGTATATAATTCTAAAAATGTAACAAAATTAACAGTCAAATTCATAAGAAGCAATGCATATAGTCAAACATCTTACGATTGTCTTTTCTGTTAATTAGTTTCCCACCAACAAAATATTTGATAATTGACCATATGCACAATTGGCAAAAGTTTGCAAAAGGAATAAAGGATCATCATCATTGGCAAGACGAATCAAACATGAATTCAATTGCTATTTTCCAAATTTCTAATCAGGGGTACAATTAAATTCGTTAAAAGTAGTTAATACGTTCAATTCAAGAAAACATAAAACCCAAATAAAACAAAAATTAGTTCATATTTCACATCACATACCTGCAACTTCAGAATGACGGAATCTCCTTTTACAAACAAAAATAATATATTTGCACACAAAAAAGTTATACTATTATATATATTTTTATAAGAGATAAGATATTGTGCCTTATTTTCGTGCATATTCTACATACTCTTCTCCAACACTGTTAAAATAAAATTTTAAGATAAGAGAAAAATGATGAAATTAATTAAGATTTTATTTAATAGTATTGAAGAAGAGTACGTAGAATAGATATGAAAATAAATAGGCATAATATCATATTCTTTTTTATAAATAATAAAACAAAAAAGATAAATTTTTTAAGACACGTTATTTTTCCCTTTTTTATTTAAAGATATAAAGTATAAAATAAATATAATTTAATAATAGTATAAAAAATGTTTACGGTTAATCTATCAATATTGAACTCTTTTTTCCACCCAATTCACATAGAACATTTAATAATTCTTTACCATTTTTATTTTTTTTATCTCTTTTATTATTATTTGTATTATAACATTGTAAAATAAAATTCAGTACAAATTTGAATATTCATTAATCCAAGCATTAACGTTTTCTGAAAATTGAAAACTCAAAAGCACATAAACTATATAAAAAAATCCAACTAATTAATTAATAACATTAAGTTTGTTTTTAATTGTGTTATTAAATGAAAAGGCAAGAAATTTTCTTCAATACACATATATCTTATACAAAAAGAAGACATATCAGATGGATTATCTCCGGATCTAACGTCGTAAGAATACGGGTATGCTTGGTTGTGTTCTTTTTTTTTTAGAATAATTAATGAAATAGGTATTTTCAATTATTTTTTTTATTTTAAAAGTTAAAATACAAAAAAAAAATAATTTAAATATATTCTCTAAATTTGGTTCTAAAAATCAAAAATTAGTTATAGTTTTAGAATTATTTTTACAAAATAAACCTTATCAAACAAATTTTTTTATTTATTTTTTCGAAAATCAAAAAACTGTTTTTGAAAATAAAATTCAAACAAACCCTAAGTTATACCTGTTTTCAATGTACTGTTGAAAATTTGGAATTTTAGTATTAGAACAAATTTGTAAGTGTTGATGATGAACTGACTCGATGTTTTATTTAATTAAACCAAAACTAATAGGAATAGTCGACATCAATTTTTTCCGCAAAAATATTTCATTTCATATAATAAATTTTAATATTATGAAATTTCTTTAACGATTAAAGTTGAGTGAGTACTCCATAGTGGCTAATATTAATAAACCATAAAGTTAAATCTGAAGAACAGCTTAATTGGCAATTGAGTGCCTGATTTGTTTTGGTTGGTAAAAGCATATTGCTATAATTTTTTTTTGGAGGTTAGAAGAAAACCGGCTCCCCACAAAAGAGATTAGTCTCACTTTGAGGTTATTAAAAAAAAAATAAAGCGAAGTTGTGTGAATTATGCGTATTGCGTAGTAGCGAGCCACCGACACACCTTTTTCTTCCACCTCCATCCATGTCACAACAAACTCTTTGTTTATCTGATCCTCCGCACCATTGTAAAGGTGTTTTTTTTTTTCCCCTGTAAATTCGAAAATGTGTTTCAACGAACACATCAGGATTATTGCGTATTTTTTTGGTACTATTATAATTCGTTAAATTATTTAGTTGTTGCTTACCAAAAAAATTAGTTGTTAATCAATTCCTAATTCCCAACTATTTGTTAGTAATAATTCATTCCAACAAAAAAAAAACCAGAAAATGTCATAGGTGCAAAAGCCGTACAATTACATGAGATGATGGCGGCCACTTGTGTAAGTAATTAATGTATCTGTCTATCACCGTACACTAGGTTAAAATAATAAAATAAGAATATAAATATAAAAATGGAATCCAAAAGATTATTCTAAGAGTTTTGTATTTATCATTTAACATGACACAAGAAAATTTTTTACACACATAACATTTTGTGGGATCTACACTTTTTGAAGCAAAAAAAAAAAAACTAAAGCACGCAAAATGAATCTCTATAACATTACACAATAATTTTTCCTACAATATAACTCTTATAAAACGGCTTTTTCACTATTTTGCCCCTTATTAATTAATTAATAACCATTTTGCCCCTGATTCGAAACTATTTATTAATCTGCCCATCTTTAGTCGACTACCTTGAATTTTTAATCGACTAAATGGCCAAAACAGACAAAAAATGGCTGTTGGGAGATTTAGTCGACTAAATCTCCATATTTGACAAAAAAAAAAAAATAAGTGAGTATGATTTTAATCGATTAAGTAGGGAGATTTAGTCGATTAAATCTCTCAACAACCGTTTAGTCGATTAAAAATGCAATGTAGTCGATTAAAGAGGGGCAGATTGGTAAATAATTTCGAATCAGGGGCAAAATGATTATTAATTAATTAATAAGAAGCAAAAGGGTGAAAAAGCCCTTATAAAACTCTTATTCTAATACACTAAAAAGAGTTGTCTATTGCCATCCGTGTTGGCGGATGCCTGTGCGACTAATATTTAATACTCCTATTAAAATAAATAAATATAATTAATTGGGGTAGGATATTCTTACACCGGTGTAAGAGTTAGAAGTCTTACACTCAATCTTGACCATTGATCCACTTGTATCCAATGGCTCATATTATTTAAAAATTCGAGCCCTTAGATATAAGTGAGATTAATGGACAAAATTAAAAGTGTAACTTCCACTAGTGTAAAATGATCTTAACCCTAAGGTAGTGTTTGGTTGGGGAGAAATTTTATAATACTAGGAAAATGTAAATACTAGGAATCTACGAGGAAAGTGAGTTAGATAGGAAAGTTTTAAAAAAGTTGTTTGGTTGGGCAAAATTTTACCAGGAAAATTGAGTTAAATTACTGAATGTGTGTTTGGTTGAAGATAAAATATAGATGGAAAAATTTAATCAAATTACAAAATAACCCCAACACCATATAACCCTGTATGCAGTGCACGTATGAATAACAGAATTTTTTTTTCTGAGAGTAAGTATTAAACCGTATGCAGTGCACGTATGGATTTTATTCATGCATTATGGAGAAAATAGCCTACATCATCCCAAGACTTATAATGGGGTAATACTCTTTTAAAATGAAAAACAGAAAAATCATAACATACTTTTGCTCAAGCTATATATTACTGCTCAGAACAATTTGCTGTATTCTCATCTCATTGCTAGGTGGTAATGTTATGCAGTGTAATTGTTCACAGCAAAACTATCTTCATGTTACTTTTATTTTTAGGAATCAATTCTGAAAATCGTAAACAAACAACTACACCAGTCAACAAATACATGTTTTTTTATTTTTCATAATATAAAATGGTGTGTAACCTTTTCTTATTGTTAACGTTTAACTTAATTTTTTATTTCCATTGCTAAATTGTTCGTATTAATAATCAAATATATGATAAATTCAAATCTAATAATAATAATATTAATAATAACAAAATCTGCTTAAAGAACATAAAACTGTTAAGAAATTTATTTCTGACAGATAAACTATATGACTAAGTGAACTTTATTCATTAACTGTGAAGTATAATATAGTTCCTGCAATGACATAAAGCTCATAGTTTAATCTCATTCACAGTTTAACCTTGCCCGTTCACTACAAATACAACCAAGTGGAATTTCATTATACAATTTCGCGTTGCACTATTTCAAACAAACCCCTTCCCAAAACCCAGTCTTCTATCATTGCTTGAGAATTCACAGCCTTCTCAGTAGGCACAAGATGCCCAGCACCCAAAACCACAACATTGGTGAGTGTCTTCCAACTTTGTACATACCCAGAAAGCTCTCCATTCACCTTCCAAATCTTCCTTTCTGCATTCAGAAACTCCAAAATTCCTTCCCATTTCATTGTCTTGACCCATGCCTCAACTTGTACCACTCCATCCCTCAAATCATGTCGACCTTGGTATAACAACACCTTGCTCTTACTCACCAAGTGCTCTACCATATATTTCACACTTTTCATCACATCAGCATGTAATGCAGCATCAACAATGTCACTGCATAACTCATACACAAATGATTCATTCACCCCCAAGGCCTTCTTCACCTCAGCAAAGTTCAAGAACTGAGAAACCAAGTCATCTTCATGTACCTATAACAGCAGCCCAATTTGATGTTCCTCCTACTTCGTAAAGTTCATTTATAGAGGGCCCTTCTAGAGAAGAATAATCCCTGGGAGTAAAGTAGTTACCCTTCTCAAGAACAAGCACCTTCAGTCCTGAACTTGCAAGAACAGCAGCTGCATCTCCTCCCCCACAACCAGACCCAACAATTACTACATCACATGATTTCATCTTGACCAATTTGTTTTCAGCATCCACAGCAACTTGAAGACCTTTACTGAACAAGAGACTCAGGCAGACTCAAGTTGGTCTCATTCATAGCTTCCACTATTCCCTTTTCAAGATGCCTCTCTTTGTGAATTTTATGCTTGTGTTCCCATCAGTGTCAACTTCATATCCAATGGCTTCCCATGCTGGGTTTTCACCATTGTCATCACACTGCACACAAGTGAATATTCCTGCAACACACACAATCCAAAAGTGGCATACGGGTTAAAGAGAAAAATGTTACTGAAAGTAGTATGTGAATCAAGAATGTGTCCTTCCATCATTCTGAAATCACATGACAGTTATGTGATACAATCAAACCAGAAGCAAGTTATCATTTCCATCAGAAGCAGTATGCAGTGCTTCCCAGTACGGCAGTACCTGCTCAACACTATACATATCGACAACAGAGAAGGGTCTATATTAGCTGCTTTATGAATGCAGTAGGGTTCATTCCCATGAGAAGCAACATTAGGCACAAAATTACAACATACAGAAAACGAAACATAATTAATATCAAAATCCAAGTGCATTACAGCATAGTTTTATAATGTAGTAGTTACAAAAAAACTCCCAATTAAATCTGTTTATAACATACATGACAGTACACCTACATGAACAGTGGACAATATTGACACAACATTAACTATGCTTGTGTGATGACCCTATAGCTGGTCTATAACCTAAAATTACAACATAGTGGTATATACATCATCCAAAAAATTACATCAACCATTAACAGTTGCAGTAGCACAACAAGTACCAAAAAATATGTGAGTACCACAGTCACACAAAAAAGAGTGACAGTAGTTTGGCTTCCATGACAAGCTATCACTTTGAAGGTATAATTAGTGTTCGAAATTTGCCAACAACCCAGCAACCAGACACCTTCTATTTTTAGTTACTTTATGTAGACTCTGGGTGAAAAACGAGCTAAATGCAAGTGTACAAGCATGCCAAAGTCAGAAGAAACAGATCAAATTGCTTGAGTTTCTTTTGTACAGGCAATAAAGTAAGTAGGCAAACATGGATAGGATCGATGCCTTATATCTTCATGTGCTGAAAAATAAGTTGAAAAAAGCTAATATGAGATGTTATTTTCTTTATTGGGTGTAACACAGAAAGTCAACTTGTAGCTGTTCGCGACAACATTAAGGTTATTTAAGCTAACATGGGTTTCAATCACACAGACAATAAATCAAATAGTTTGTTTTGTAATTTTTATATACAAGAACTCTAATGTATTCATTTTCACGTTATGTTTTGTTTTCACCCTCATAGTTATGAAAGTTTTCACACTGAATTTAAATGAGGTATATTTGTCGCTTCTTATTGAATTGATGCATTATAAATGAGTGTGTGGCAGTAGAGAGCATTTCAATTGTATAGTTAACTTTTCTCAACCAGTATGTCATTGAATTGATGATTGTTGAGGGGGCCTTTGTCATAATTGTACTTGAGGACATAGTTTTACCACAATGCTTATAGAAATATCTCGTACAAACACTAAAAAAAACACAAATCCGAGTTGTATAATGATAAAGTAGGATACAGTCTGGTTGATTGGTGCTATCCATTGATAAAGATGTAATAGTATAAACTAATTTATTTTTGTAAAGGGTGCAAGTGTTACCCATATTTTTTTCTTGATTTTTATAGGATTAAAATTGCAATACACTTTAAACTGCAGAACAATGAAAAAGCATAGAACCAGTAGAGAAACACAACAGAGAATGATTGAACCAAGTGGGTCCTGCGCCTGAAGGAGGAATTTATCATAAACCCGGAACGAAGGATTTCACAGACAACAGGAGACATGAAGGTCAAACATTAACATAGACATATTATCATCAGCATCAAGATTCAAAGGAAGAAACTTTTTTTAAATATGCCTTCGATTCCTGCAAAGAAATCCACAAAGTCTTACCGGAATATTGTGACGAAAATAAGAGGATCCCTTGTCTGAACGAAAACAAATCGGGTGCTGGTCTTCAAACCACCGGCTTGTACTTCGCGCTAGATCCGGTTCACGGGACTCTTCTTTCACTAGCTAAACAAAAGGAACGTGCTACGAAAGACAACAAACTTTTAGACGCTTTTCCATTAACTACAGACTAAACTTGATTCCAAAAAACAGAAATGTTACCATTACCTGATAACCGAACACAAGCATCTGGGTTTCCTCAGTCATAGTGAGGTTTGGGTTTCAACGGTTTGGGTTCCAGAGCTGCACAAAGAACAAATATGGAATGCGATAGGGATGTTCGGTGCAAGAATCGAAGTCAGACTGGTGTTCGAATTTGGGGTACAGCTAGGATTAACGAGGGTAGACTTGTCTTATTTTTCATCTAAATTTTCCATCAAAATGGATTTCCCAGCAATACCATCGTCGGAGAAGGAAACTGAATCCGTGATTTTCATCCATTTTTCACTCATCTTTCGATAGCTGGGCAAGGAGGAATGACGGCTAAGTTCAACGTTGTCCTCAACCAAACGTGGTGTTTTAGGATACCCACTTACACTTAGATAGGATAATCTTGATATGTCTCGAACCAAACACTACCTAATTAATATCTTTAATCGAATGATTGCAAAATTGTGTAAAAATTAGTTAGAAAAATATAACATCAATGCAAATATTAACATAGTTAGACCCAACACAACGCAAGCACTATCCCCTGCTAAAGCATCTTCCAATCTCGCAACCGCAACACAGATCTTGATTTCTTTTTTTAAATATTTCCTAAGATTCTCATCAAAGAAAAAGCAAAAGGTTTTCATCGTTGGCAAATTCTACCAACAACGACACCGACACCCATTAGTAAGTCCTAACGATTAGTTGACTAGTATGAAAGAAAAAAAAAAAAAAGGTTTCAAATTTCAGCATTATATCTGTTTTGTCAGTTAGCTTAAATAATAAATGACTTGAAACTGAAATCTTGAGAAGAAGAGGGGATTTAATTCTATCACGCTTTTAACGCTCCCGCCTAATTTATTTCTCTGACCCATTCCCATTCCTGAGCCTGCAATTTCAAGTTTCAAAATTTCAATTTTTACAAACAAACAGAGCTCAATCATAGCTATGGACCACAGCGATAATTTAAATAAATTCACAAAGTTCCATTCTCCTATTTTCTCCGCTTTTTTGGGGAGAAAAGCATCCCACTATTGTAACCCCAGATTAAATTACACTTCTTTTATATTAAAATATTCAAAAAAAAAGACAAGAAAAAAAAAAGGATTATTTTACACATGATGTGAAACTCCACGGTAATTCCTTAATCATCTTCTTCGCCGACATCCTTTGATGACGGCAATGACGACAAAGATAACGGCGAGTTCGAATTTCTGCAAAACTCAGAGCTTTCTCCGTTAATTTCACTATCCAACACGAAATGCCCCAACGAATTCACCTTGTGGACCAAATTCTCTTGGCACAGAAACTCATTGCTGAAAATCCTCTCCACCTCTCTCCCGAAATCATGCACGAAAACATGGGTCTTGCTGGCTTTTCCGCCCCCGGTTTTCTTGCTCCGGGCCAGCACGGCGGCGGTGAAGATCGCCGACATCCTCCCCGGAGCCGCCGGAAAATACCCGCGCGGCCCATCAACTAGAATAACGTCCCAAGGGATTTGGTATATATGGTTCGGCAAATCGTTGATTCCGAGCTTGCATTCGGAGAACAAGAGATTCTGAACGGGCCTGCAATCGTTCTTGGAATGTGCTTTGGCATGTGAAAGCAATTGAGGGTACTCGCTAACTTTGGTCGTGAACTGAACATCGTAGGCTTCGACACCAGGGTTAGATTGTTCGAATTTGGAAATGATGTATTCGTTTTCGTCGAGGAACACCGTGCGCCCCAGGTGATTCAGTGCGAACCAGAGCAGGGACTCGTGGGTGAGACCGAAGATGAGGAAGTTTGGGTGTGGGTTGCGGAGGAGAACGGTTGCGATGGCGTTGATCTCGGCGGAAGACATGGATTTGGCGGTGGCGTTGGAGGAGGAGGCGTAGTGGAGGAGGGCTTTGGTGACGGAGGGTGGGAGAGGAGAGGCGGAGGAGGCGGTGGCGGCGGAGGTTGTTCCGAGGGAAGGGATGATGGTGTTGATGAGGGTTAAAGTGAAGAGTAAGGTGAAGAAAGTGAGGGAAAAAAAGAGCCAGAGACGATGAGATGGTAGTATTGCTCCACCACCTGTTGCTAAGGTTTGTTTGTGAAGGGAAGGGTGGAAGAGGATAAGCTTGGTGTTAGAGTTGCTCTTCATTTTAGTTTGGGAGTAACAAATATTAAAGAGGGTTTTGTTTCTTGGGTGTATTGTTGTTTCTATCTCTCTCTGTGCCTGACTAGTGTGTCGTGTGAGTTATAGTAGTGGAAGACTAGTAATAGTGCACAATAAGTGAGCCAGTTGCTACATTGAAGTTAGGACTTAGGAACCGAGGGACAGAGGAATCGCGGAGTAGATTGAGAATGGTCACGTATCCCCAGGCTTCAGGCATAGGTCGTGGCAACTCTGAATGCTACGGTCCACTTTCTCACGGTCCATTAAGGATGAATATCTAATGTAGGTCCCAAACCACCGTTTAATTCATAAATTTGGGGAAATATTTGTTTATAAATGTTTGTTTATAAATTTTTATAAATTATATTACATTTGATCGGTAATATTTTGTTTAAGAGTATATTATAGGTCAAACATAGTGTAATTTATAAGAGTTCGTAAATTATCCATTCTTGTTCTTCACCCCTTCCTAAAAATCCAAAAAATCCAACATTCAAAATATTCTATTTTTCATCATGAATTATGCAAAATCTGTTTTGACATTGTTTCAAGATGTCAAAAGCATAGTCCTTACAAAATTCCACAATTTTAACCATAGTTTTATCTCCACTTGAAGAACCAGCCTCCAATTCTTCATGGGTCACATCTCCTTGTAATTTAATGGACCTATAATGCTCAAATCGAAGCCTCCCAAGGTAAGAAACAACTACTTCAGTGTTTATCCTGCACGGATCCACCTGACAACTGAAAACGAAAATAGTATCCTTTGTAGCAAAAGTGACGTCAATCTCTGAAGCGTCAACATTAGCACTTGCAATCTTGATGAGAGTCTCGTCAACTTCTAGGGTATCACTAGCAACTCTCAGGTTTGATGGGTCTATACTAATGTTTTGGGGTTTGAGTAAGCCCGGCCCAATATCATCGTTAACATAAAAAAGACTTATGTACCTGTGTTGGTCCAGAAATATTTTGAGAGTACTTTGGGCCCGCTCCATTATGCTTGCAATCTGGCCCATATCTCCTAAGCCTTTCACTGACCTAACTATGTTTCTCTTTTCTGATACGTCCTGTTCTTGCGTTTCACCTTCCTCCCTAACCATCATTGTTCCTGCACTTAGTTTCCATCCACCGCTTCCGAGGTCCAAATTCGGTGGTTCCGGCAACGAGGGTGGGTCAATCATTATCGCCTTTGGAAGTGGCAGTGCCATCACTTGCGTAGCTCCCTTTACTAGTTGAAATTTGTCTGAATTTTTCTCACACTCCGTCGTCGATGGCTCCACCACTGCGAGCGGTTGTTCTAGCAATGGTGTTGGTGAACCTTCTCCCTTAAATATTTTGTTGATTTTCTCCTCTCCTTCCTTCTCTTTCAATCGTGTCATCTTTGCCTCTAACTTTAGTTCAGAGTTGAAAACTTCATGCTCTGTTTCAGCTTCGTCATCTTCCAAACAAACTTCCGGTTGAAATTCCTTGAAGAAAGCTTTTAAAAATTTCCACCAGCTAGCTTTTGGATTATGCCAGATCCAGAATCGATACCAGATACGAGCATTACCGGTAAACCGCTCCATAGCTTCCTTTTGCTTTTCATTGTCTGAAATTCCATACGCCTCAAAATACTGCTCAGCTTGGATTGACCATCCCAACGCGTCTTCCTCACCAGAAAATATAGGAATTCTTATTTTGCGAAATTGCTTTTCCATTTTTTTTTCTTTCAAAGCTCCCCAGATCAGAGAGCTCTGATACCAATTGATACAAACCTACCAGAAAATAAAGCTAGCACACAATGAATTATGGAAAAAGAACACAAATTTGTATGTAGATGTATTTGTATCTGTATTACAATATGAAAATAGTAACAACTCAGAGACAGTTTAACAAGAATAGGAAAATACAATGAAATGGAAATGCTATAATAGAAAAGGAAATAGTGAAGCTAAAATCCTAGAGGAATTCTAGAGCCTCTAGTCTCTCCCAATCACCCAAGAGGTGCCCAAAAGTCCCAGCAATATCCATGCCCCCTACTCCAATGCATCTTCTCATATTTAAACAACCAGACTTTCCTCAACAGCCTCTCCAATTTTGTTATCCACGTCAGCCACACAAAATACCCTCTCTCAATTCTCAACTGATAATATTCCCCGCTTCTCCTTATTTTATACACATTTTTGCTGACTAGGATCGTATCATATAACATGTCCTATTTTTAATTACCTTTAATATAAAGTGTTGAGGGTAAACAAAATGTTGTATGCTTATGATAAATTCTCTTAACATGTTCTTATTTGTTTATATTAAAAATATTAAATAAAAAAATAACTTCTTAAGAACACAGTTTATTCAATACTTTTTAAGGGTTTTTATCATTCAGGGAGGAAGGGAAATAAGAAGTTCATGTGAAAAGAGAACATTGATCGAGGCAACGAAGTATGAGGAGAAATACAATTAGGGGGCGTTTGGTATAGGAGAAATTTTTTTTTACTAAGGAAATACAATTACTAAGGAAATGGTAGGAAAGTAACTTTGATAGAAAAGTTTAAGTAAAAATGTTTGCTTGATCAAAATATTACCGGGGAAATATTTGCAACAGTGTTATTGTGGAACATGTTTCATTACACCATTTTTTACTTCCCCATCCATATCCAAAATACCATGTCTCAGGGTGTATTTTGGAACAGTGTTATTGTGCCAAAAATCAACACAAACCACTTTTCCTATTCTTCAAGTTGTCTAGTATTTTTTTTAATAGCTTCTACCAAACGTGGTATACACCGATACCCACCCACACTTCCCCATCAAACCAAAAATAAAACCTATACCAAACACATCCAGGAAGCGTTTGGTACAGGAGAATTTTTTTTAACCAGGTAAATATAAATAGTGGGGAAATGGTTATAAACTAAAATTAGTGGGGAAATTTTAAAAAAGTTATTTGGTAGACCAAAATATTACCAGGGAAATGAATTCAAATTTTTGAATTCCATGCTTGGTCGAAGGTAAAATATAGATGGAAAAATTGGTTGAAATTACAAAATTAACCCTTTTTATTTTTTGAATCTGATCAACCTTTGCCCAAAATGACAGTTTGTAAAAGCCAGCTTAATTGGTGTCATTGTTTCAACAATTTTTACTTTGCTGGAACCCAAAATACGTACTCAATTTTTACTTCCCCAGCAAACCCCCAAAATACAACCCTCAAAATGGTTTTCTGGAACAGTGCAAAATAAGAAATTTTGCAAAGAAATCAAGTTGGCTGGGGAAAGGATTTTGCTATGCATAATTTTTGTAACTCTTGTACCAAACTTAGGCAAATTGAAAACCCATTTCAAGTTGCCTAGGTATCATTGCCAAAAACCCCTACCAAACACCCTTAGGGGGCGTTTGGTACAGGAGAAATTTTTTTTTGTCTGGAAATCTCGATTTTCAAAAATATGATTTTTACATTCAGTTTACGATAATATCTGAAAATTTAAAATTCACAAAAAATTATTTTCCCGGGAATCCTAAGATAAGCCATGTACCAAGGAAATGTACTAAGGAAATGTACAAAAAATTTACAATCTTAGGGCGTTTGGTTGAGGAGAAATTTTTTGAATACTAAGGAAATGTAATTGATAGGAAAATGGTTGGAAAGTGAGTTTGGTAGGAAAATGTAAAAAAAGTTGTTTGGTTAGAAAAAATGTTACCGGGCAAATTAGGTAATATTTATAAAGTGTTTGGTTTGAGGTAAAATATGAATGGGGAAATAACTTCAAATTACAAAATAACCCTTAGGCAACGGGGAATGGGTGAATTCCACAACAGATTGTTTAATCTTGTATAGAAGGAGGCTCCGAATGTAAACTCAGTAGAAGCAATGTCTAGCGATGCCCGGGTGAATATATAAGGAGTTCCAGCACTGTTGAAGCCAAGAAGTGATGATGAATCATTGATATTGATCTTTGGGAAGCCAAAGCTAATTGAAGGAGGCCTTGCAAATGATAAGAAACCAAAACCAGGCAGCAGAGAGCTACCCCATCAATAAATCCATAAGTCTTGTGCTCGTACTCCTGTAGTTGTTGGTAGAAACCTATATTAAAAAAAGAAGGATGCATAGAGAGAAACATGGTAATAAATCCAGTGAAAAGCAACCAAACCCTCTCGAAGTGGGTATCTTGCAACCCAGAAACAGAAATTTGATGATGTTGCAGTGATAGCTTATGGATTTGGTAATGGAAATTCTCACTTTAGCTAGGTTAGGAGAGGGCATATTTGTCTGGTCATTGTCTTCTATCCCTCATTTAGCCCGTTATCTCGTGAAATACCATGTGAGAAGTGGGTATTTTGCATAGTAACTTTTGTCCATTTTTCCACACAATTCTGAAAAGCTGGAGAACTAAGTTTGGTAGGCAAATTTTGTGTTCTCTTCTACCAAACATGGGTAACACATAATCCAACTCTTAGATGCCTAGGTATCCTCTCAAAAATCATGTACCAAACAGCACTAGAGTTTTGATGAATATAGGGCATGGAGTAGAAGATTGTGCTATGAATTATTAGAGAGAATTTCAGGTCTAGATATGAGACATTGCTTTAATTGTACTCTGTACTTCGCTTAATCGCATTTGCAGCAAATGGCATTACTTAGTATGCAATAATAAGATACATGTGTTTCTTGTGAATTAAGATGCAGATCATGCTTAATTATGACCTAAAATAGAGCATAGTCAAACAGGGAATGCTGCCTGCATTTACATAACACAGAGAATGTCCGTGTCTGACGGCCGGTAATTAAGGGATGATTTGGGTTAAAGTCGTTTAAGCAAATGATACATCTAGTATGAATTTGGTAAACTCGCAATCAATTAAAAAGCATATCCACTCCCCAACTGTTTTAATTTTGGTAAGAACTACCTAGTGTTATATTGCACCAAGTAAAGTGACGTTGATGGCATTGACCAATAAGTTCACATCCCAAGTCACGCCATCATCTAATTTGAGGATTGTGTTTT